ATCAATGATTCTCTCTCATCATTGATGTTTCTCTCGCTCCCTCTCCCTTCCTCTCTGAAATCAATGAAAAATAAATGTTTCCTTTTCCTTTAAAATGTGTATTCTAGGAGGGATGGGAAGCCTTTGGGAAAAGGGAATCACGGGCTCAGTTTGATGTTGTGCAAAGATCACTCTGGCTCTCCAAGCAGCACAGGTCACAGGGGACACAGCTGGAAGCAGGGACCAGTGCTTGTCATCACAGCAGCCCAGTCCTATTACGTCTTCATTCCCTTTCTCTTCACTGAATGAGAACACACACACACACACACCCCAAAACCAGTGCATTTCCTCCAACAGGTGAACCGTGTTGCCCATCCCCATACCAAGGCCGCCCGTGGCCTCCCTGTAGGCAAAGTCCTGCGGCTGGGCCCTCATCATGCAGTGCTCGCGCCTGGCCTGGGTGAGGAAGAGCTGCTTCCACGAGGGCACCTGCAGGCCCTCCCAGGAGATCCTCCATCTCCTCTGACACAGGTTTCTGGAAAGAGTCACAGCACCGTCAGGTGGCCTGGTCCCTGGGCCTCACTGGCACCACCTTTAACGGCTGCAGCCTCCTCTCAGGCCTCTCCCCACCCAGCCACCGCCCCCAGGCCTCCGCTCACCACAGGTGCTCCTCATCTGCAATGTCCTTCCAGTACTTGAGAGAGAGAAGGGGGAGAGAAGCAGTCAATTGGTACCCAAATGTGGGCCCCTCCTTCACTATCATTTGTCCCCGGAGCAAGGCCCACTGGGAGGTAACAGGCCACCATCACGGCTCTCAAAGCTGCCCAGGCGGGGCCCATGGGACGCGGTGGCAGCAGAGGCAGTCACTGCCGGGACAGGGCCCTCCTGGGAGGTTCAGAGGGACTCCTGGGCTGGACATGGGGCTTCGAGAACCATCCGTCAGCACAAGGATCCTGTGCATCCTGTTGTCGTTTTCATTGAACAAAATGGGAGGCTGTCAGAGTGAAGGATGCTAACCCCCCCCCCCCCAACACTCCATGTGCCGCTCTGTTCTTTTGCTAATTGGCACTCAAAGTGGCCAAGAGACTCATCTGACTCCCAAGGCCACGGACAGGCATGCCAGGCCTGAACGAGGTCAAGGTAAGGACGGAAGGAAGGAAGGCCGTGTTTGTGTGATGCTGGGGGAGCCAAGATCCCGAGGCCCGGGGAGCGAGGGGAGGGGGGGTCTTAGTGTGGTCATTTCAGACAGAGCCACGGAGGGGGCAGGGGGAGAGGGAGGGAAGGCGGGGAGCACTCACCATGCTCACCTGGCCCGCCCGCAGCAAGCTGGCCGCATCCAGGAAGGAGAAGATGTGCCGCATCAGCACTTCAGGCAACTGCATCTCCAGCTCCCGTGGCCGAGCCCACAGCCAGGCTCCTTTCTGGTCTGCAGGCTGGTCTGCATTTAACGGCGTGGCCACCTGCCCTGGGAGGATTCCCACCCGCAGCCCATGGGGCCTGGAGAGAAACAGGCTGCAGGTGCGCCGGCAGCGGCCTCCACTTCCACCTTCTGATGAGCAGACGCTCTTACTTCAAGGAAGTTCAAGTTACCCCGTTCGTTCTTTAGTGGCCGCGACTTTCCCAGGTATGTTTGCCTACCGCAAAGTCACTTTTTTGCTTGACTCGTGATTTTTGACCTTTCCTATTTAAAGCTGTGAATTAACTTTTCTCTCTCTTTTTTTATTGTCTAAAGTTTGACATATGTCTCCTTTTTCTCCGATTGACCCCCCCAGCCACTCCCACCCCAGGCAAGCCCCCACCGCCCCAGTGTCTGTGTCCCATTGGTTATGCTTATATGCATGCATATGAGTCCTTTGGTTGCTTTCTACCCCCCCCCCC